TGTTGATATTTTCACGGAAAATTCAACTCCGATAGTGAATCCGGTAATATATCAATATGAAACATCACGGGCGAACAATTAGTAAGCGGGTAATATAAATAGATATTATACTGTATTTTCAATAACATAAAATGTCATATGCAAATAAGCACATTTAACAAAGAGACGGATGTTACAGAAAAACCTTTCGAATGATAATTTTCCAATGCTTTAATTTAAATACTATATATTACATGTAAAATTTTTATTAATTAAACCATTTACACTTGCAGCATCAATCAAAATTCCCATTAAAAACTTTGACCTGCCTGTTTACTATTAATAGTCTTTAACGAAATAAATCTTTCCACGCTAGTATACTTTGAACAAACAGATCTTTATGTTTGCTTACAATTGAAGAAGACTAAAACATTCTTATTAAATTTTTATTATTTATATACCATTATTGAGAGAGAGTGAGAGAGAGAGAGAGGAAGAAGGTAAATATTTAAAGAGATAAAGAGTTGGAATAATTTGCTAAAAGGATAGGAAGCTACTAATTTTCTTAAGCAGTTCACAAAGTAGGAGGTCTTTAAATTTAAAATTGACCATTCTTCGATTCAATGAAAATTGGATGAATATTATTCTGATTTCATAAAAAAGATCATCTTAATATTTTTAATTTTATCATTTAAGACGAAAAAGATAAATAATTTTTAGTTAAAAAGAAAACATTTAAATTGTAAAGTTGATTCAAAGCGTTGTTAAAAGATTTAGGACAAATATCAAGGTTTAAAGATTTAGGATAGATAATCAGTAAAGATATTTTGGTAAGAAAAGTTGGTATCTAGTCGTTGTAGCCTGAGTTGATGTCCGAAATGCGCATTTGGGATATCCGAAGTGAGCATTTGGGATATCCGAAATGATCATTTGGGACAAATGCAAGCGCATATCCCGAACGATCTTCGCATTTGGGATATACCAATTTCGGACATAGCTATTAGATTACAAGAGCAATCGAATTTCGTTAAGGAACAAGAAATTTTAAAAATTCGGTTTGAGATTTTGAAAATATATGCAATTGATCATTTAGTTAAATTATTGTATTTAAGAACTTTAGTAGATCGTAATACTTTTAGAGCTCTTAAAAATTTAAATAAGAGTATTAATAAATTATTAAATATTAGTCGTGTTGATGGATCTTCAATTTTTACTTTCATGGAGTGCAAAATTCATATCGTATTAGAAGAATATGATAAAGCATTGGAAGATTTTAATAGATTAAGTAACCGAGTCATTTCATTTATTTATTACAAGGATATTCTTGGTTTTAGTTATATTTATGTAATTATTATCATTTTGATAAAATTATTGAACTTGAAATTGTTAACGACTTTAATTGTTATATGTTTCATTTGGGTGCGCTGTCAACTAATTAAATCAAAACTATGTATGGTCCTATAACAAAAATTACTATTGAAGATTTTTTGATATTATAGTATAATTTAAATTATTTTGTAATAAATTTACTATTAACGAAGCTATATTTTCTTTCTTTAATAACTCTGGATCCTTATAATTTTCAATTCAGATTTTTCGAAAATACTCCAAATATCCGTTTCTTTCACAAAATAGAACGCTTTTTTAAAAAAAATTCATTGATACTCCGAAATTAATAAATTAAATCTTCTAAATAAAATAAAACTTTTTTTTACGTGAGTTTTGAAAAAAACGATATATTTTATGTTTCTTGAAGTTATAATGTACCCATTCAACTTTACTGCGTTACTTTAATGTTAATAGAGTACAAGTTATTAAATTTTAAAGATTTCGGTTATTTTATTAGAATTTTATTAAAAAATAGCCAAAGTTAAAATGAAAAATATCTAATAGTAAGTTTTACTATAGGACCATATATAGTATAGTTTTGTTAAAACTATGTTGACAGCGCACCCCAATGTTTCATGGTATTCTTTATATTTTTTATTTTATTTTTTAAATTATTTATCTAACGCTTTTTTTTTTCAGAAAAAAGGTTTATTTCGTATCAAACCTCGTTTAATGTTAATAAATTTTCAAACATCCAAGAAGTGAATTCTAATAGGTAAATATATAACTTTTTTTCAATATAATATTCAAAAATTTATTAATTATAATAAATTAAAAAGTCTATTTGGAATCAAAAATGAACCAATAAAAATTGATTTATCTAAATTACCCCCATATGCCATATATTATTATATGGAGAATATGTATTAATAATATATCATCCGAAGATTATGTTTTACAATGATAACGATAGAAATAAATTACAAATATTATAGTATATATAACTATTCTTCGCCATATACTGCATATACTGTAAATAAAAATTAAGAAAAAATTAAAAGAATTAAATTGTTAAATCATTGTTACATATTCTGTATTTTTTATTTATATAATCCATACTAAATATCATAATCCAATGATTTTGATTCATAAGTTTCATCCTCCAATAATTTAATTTTTTTATTGCCTTATCTATAAAATCATTATAAATAATTTCAATTGAAGCTAGATTCTAAATCCGCATAAAATAACAAAATTATATCATGCCGTTATTACTTTCAACCTGAAGACTTCCAAAATTTCTCTTGCCTTTTTTAAAAAAATAAAAGAAAAGGAACTTGTTAATGAAATAACATGTAATAGTATATTGTAAAATAAATTAAAATAAATAATGACCATTATTTGATGTATTGCTTTTAAGATAATTAACTAATAAATTATATGATTAATTAATATGCCAAAAAATAAAATTTTACATTTATAAAATAAAATAAATATCAAAATCACCAAAATTTGAAGAAAGGGATTGACTTCGTAAACTTCTTGTGGATTCTGCGGATTTCATCATGCTACTTAAAGATCTACTCTTATAAATAGCGCTTGGATAATTTGTTGTTATAGGTCCAATAACTGGTGATTTTAAAATATCGATTGGATTATTATATTGAGAAATAAAAATACTATCAATGCTAATTCAACGTCAAAAGCTGTTGGCCTTTTACTTGGCTCAGGGTCCCAACATTGTTTCATTTACTTAATATAACCTATAGGTGCTTTTATATCATCAACAAATTTTCAATGTAAGCAAAACAACAATATAAATTAAACTTTTATAAGGATGCAAAGAATATGCATAAAGCAAAAAAGTATAAAGCTATAAGTACGTCGCAATCTATAATAGATAAATCTTATTTAGTCAACTAAACTAACCAAAATTAAATTATTGGTAAGATGGATTTACTCCAAAGTTTCATGAATTATGTGATGATATACTTTGTACAGTTACATTCATTAAAGTGAAGGGATCTGGTGAAATTCTTGGAGGTATAATCCTACAATATGGAAAACCCCTTCTCATGTTCGTGAATATGGTAAAACCAAGGATAGTTTTATATTTTCTTTTAAGAATGAGGATAATTTCAAAGATCCAATCATGTAAAGAATGCAGATAGGGCCTTCCTTACTTATATTTCAACTCTCTTTGTGGTCCCACATTTTTTAGTGACCTTTGTTTAGAAACGAAAAATATGATGAGAAAAAATTATAATTTTAATCATGCAAATATGAAAAGGCGATAAGAGATACGGACGAGAATTTCTCAATAGAGGTTATGAAGTATTTCAAATTTTAAAGAACAAGACTATTGATCCAAAATTTGGATTTCTCATCAAAGTAATTTTAATAAATTTTAAAAGTACCGAAGAATTTTTTGTAACAAAAAAAAAAAATATTACTTGTGAATAAATTGAGTTATTTAATTTTGGCTTAATATCTAAGCCTCATTTCTACTTTCAGGTGAATTATGGTTATATATCATTAGCGCGGTGGTGTATAATCAGTAAATTTATTTTAAGTAGTCTATTTCCACATCTATTTCCATCTATTAAGATTATATTTCGATAATTACTAATATTGATTTTAGGAACAAGATCGTTGATTTGAAAGTCTCATCATAATATTATTTAAATAAACTTCCTTTCTGAACAGTGTGTGAATTGGATTTAAATTAATAGGTGGATATTTCTGGAAGGAATCTTCAAAAGAAATCATTATTAGGAATGATTAAAGATTCGGTTTCAGCATAATTTCAGAAAGATGATGTTACATGCATATGATTTGTAATTTTCCTTAAATGCATCGTTATGTCAGTAACTTGACAAATTTAACATAAGTTATTAATATAAAAGGAATGAATATCGTTTTGATTCATTTTTTTTTTAAAAAAAAATACTATAACTGGAGATCATGTGGATTTCAACATTTTTTATCATTAAAATGAGGAAAATACTGAATTTCAATTTTTTATTTTACGGCTTAAACAATTGTATGTACTAATAATTTAGTGTTAGGAACAAGTCGAAGATTTTTTTTTTAAAAAAAAAAGAGAGTCGACACCATTAATCACCATAATATCAGAAAATTAAGTGATGTCTGAATCCTCGGATTCTGACAAATTTATTTTAGCAATTTTGAAATATCGACATTTTTATAAAATAGTTTCTACGTTTTACAACTTTATAGTTTCGACTATTAAAGTTTCGATGGAAACCGAAGTTTAAGGGATTTGCCTCGCATTCTTAGACGAATTTAAATAAATACTAGTTAAAACTCTTGAGACAATTTCCGTAATACTGCAAACACTAAAGTGCTAGATAATTCATACTTTTGCCGAATTTAAAATTTATTAAATAAATAAAAGTTATGTTTGATAATTTCATTTGAGAGCCACGATCTGTCGACTCACGGTTAATACACTAAATAAAAAACGATATTTCTACGTTTGTTAATATATATATTAGTAGTTTTGCCAAAAAATATATTTATTGAGTTTGCGTAAATGGAAATCTTTTTTCTGGGACATTACGTTCCATTCCTATGCTGGAAAATGAAAAATGGTTATATGCTAATAAATATAATAATTCATAATTATAAAAAGCGACATTATAAAATTAATTCATATAAAAAAAAAACATCAAAATTTTTTCTTGATTAATATTTAACGCAATATTTTTTATTGCATATCGTGCAATCCTTATTTCTTTCCCGCCATTTTTCATTTTATTGTTCGTTTATTTGTATTGATTAGCTTTTTAGGTGTGCACTAAAAAATTGAAGTTGTTTATAATTCGATAACGTTCTACTTTAAATAATAGGTTTCATGACCAAATCAATAATTAATAATAATATAACAATTAACTCATGAATAATTAAATGAGATTTCTGTGCCAAATGTTGTTATAAAATTTCCAGGTTTTGTACGAAACACTTTCCGTAACATGAACCGACCAACTTTACTATCCTTGTTCAATTTTAATTCATAAATAAGCTAATCACAATTGGAAATGTGAGAAGCATTTGAATACTTATTCTTTTAATACCATGGAAATTTTATTCATAATATAACGATACATTTTTATTTTATTAATTAACAATTAATCATAAGAGGACAATTAATTATGGATATAGAAAAGTTAATTGACCTAAAGCAAAAAAAAGCCATTTTAAAATAATAACTTCAAAACATAGAAAATATAATCATTCGATCATTGCAGCTCGCATAAAAAACCCGAGAAAATCTTACAGTTTATTCAAGTTATACTTTATTGATAGTATATTTTACATGACTTTACGAAAAAAAATTTTTTTTGGATTAATTATGTACCTTCTCTTTCTTACAAACAAAAAAAAATTGGAAAAAAACTAATAATAAAATAAACAAAACATTTTTATTTTATTTTTTTCTGGCAAAGTAAATATACGAAACTATTATAGTTTCGACAATTGTTTATGATTTTTACTTCCCAATAATATATCACACCCAACCCGCTATTAATTAAAAAATTAGGCTCCAACAATTGATAGGACATATTCCATTCCAACAATTATCAGAAAGGGAGACACTCCAACAATTGATGGGAATTATTCCATTCCAACAATTATTAGAAGACTCCCGCTAACAATTGATAGGAATTATTCCATTCCATCAATTATTAGTTAACGAAATTAAACCATCACTTATTTTGGACTCATAAGCCAAGTGTGCACCCATGACATTATGAAACTACACAATCAACATGTGCGCAATAATAAGCATAGACAGTAAAAAATCGCAAAAAAATAAATAACAAAAAAAATAATACCGATCATCTATTGAAATTGAATTAAATTTATAGAAAAATGAGAATTTTGTCGGATTATGGGATCGATTTAAATCACGTGTTTGTGTATCAGTCATGTGATTTGAATTTATTGTGCATATTTAACGTCATGTGATCTGTTTCGACGTTGATTTAAAATAAAACTTGCTACTATAGCCTATTAAATTATATTATATCTTTTCAAAAAAGGTGAAATATCTGACCCTTCAATGTTACACAATAGTTTGTCGCGAAACCTCACAAAAAAAATACTTCACAATTTTTTTTTAGTTTTCAGCAGTAGAAACAACTGGAGGAATCGTTACTTTTATTTGCATAATACTTAACTCTGTGCGACAATGGCCTATTGGTATGTTTGACATTCCGAATTTAATTTTCATACGAAATATTTCTCGCCTGATTTTGTTTTCTTGCGGAACTATGTGACCAATTGATGCGCGATTCCGCAGGACCGATATACTAGAACTGTTCAAAATACATGTAATTGAGATGCTTCTTATATTTAAATTATTTTATATTTTATAAAATTTAAAAATTTATACTTTGTTTATTTCTAAATTCAGATTGAAGGAAGAAAATTACGTTTATTCTTGAAATTTTAACGAATCAAATCCTCTGAAATAGATTTCTAAGGACAAAATTTATTCGGCTTGGTTTGTAATTCAAACGTTATCCAACTTGTTAGTCGGTTATTATTCAAATGTGGTTTGTAATTTCTTTTTTAACGCATACTGATATTAATTTCTTACTAGCAACAGACTTTAGGGATTCAGATTAAGTTAGAAAGGATTTTTATTTTCAAATAAAATAACGTGTTTAAAAAAGCACAAATACATTGCCAATGACACTGACACAACACTCAAGCTCAAAAGGGTAAAGAACACTTAAGCTAGCTTGATGCGGCATGGAGTAAGTATATTGTCATACTAATGTTATGAAAATTTTATCACCGTAGAAAAAAGTCATTTATTATAAATTTGGTATTTCTGATTTTAGTAATTTTTAGCGAGAAAAAAAGCGAATTTCAGATGACATAAAAGATCGCAGTGTCAATCCTGCATTAAAGATTTTGTCGCGGATGTTCATAAGGATGTCGTGTCCTGTGTCATATAAGAATAAAAATAGTGTCACGGTTAGTTACCATATCCTGATCCTTCAAAAAGACCTTTAATTACAATATTTTTAACGAAGTAGTAGATGGAGTATTAAAAAGATCGGATTTTGATTAAATCAATGAAATTTGGTGGAAATCCTCATCCAAAAGCAATTTTTACGAGCAGAGCATTAAGTTCTTTGATTTCGAAAAATTCATCCATAAATTTATCTATGGAAAATGTATAATATAAAACAAGGTATTTTGTTTAAATGATTATATTGATTTGAATATCGAAATGATATAATCAATTATTGTTTATTAATATAATTTTCTTGGAATATTCAGATTATATTGCAATAGAATATGATCTGAATATAAGCAAACTAATATTTACTTTATTTACTTTAATTATTTGGTCATCTTTATTAAATGTGGATCACGCTAGTTAAATCTCTTCAGATATCTAACGTTCAAAGGTAGTTGATATTAATATATCATCATGTACATATAATTAAACAAACAATTCTTCAAAAAAGCGTGGAATTGAAGAATTATAAAAAAGAAGCGGGTTTTCGCAATTGATTGACATCACCTGATCACACTAATTCGAAAACCGCGATAATATTCAATTTTATCAAGATTTTGAGAGCAAACGTTCGTAGGATCACTCAATCAAGTATAGCTTTATAATTTTACTAAAGAAATAAATTCAATAGGATAATAATATATTTTTTTTTGGAATATAAAACAGTTTTATTTGATAGGTCTTATTTACTGTATATACTTTACAGAATTTTTCAATGTATTAGTAAAAATTATTATTTTCTATAATCAAATTAGGTTGATGTGCTGCGACTCCACTTATTTATTGTGTTGTATTCAGTTCTTTCGTTTATGTATTATAAACAATTTGTATTGTAAGCAGAAGGTATTGATTGAATAAAAATGAAGTAATAATGATTTATTTAATATTATCAAATTTAATCAGAGTTGCCTCAACATTGACGCTCTACACTTTCGCTTGATCAATATTTTAAACTATGTAAATGCCAAGTAGCAAAATCTATTTAATTAAAACTGCGCAAATACGAAACAATTACATAAACAATAAAAATCCTAATTAAATCGGAAATTAAGAATAAAAATAATAAAAGTTACATATGCGAAATTAAAAAGTTAATACGGCGAAAGCGAAAATATCGCGAAGGTGTTATAGGAAGAATTTCGAAGGGAATGTATGCAAAGAAATATCACAAGGGCGAACGTGGTTATTGAGCTGCTTAAGGATTTCCGGCTCGTATATAAAAAAAAAAAAAAATTGGGCCAGCCTGGCGTCTTGAACATTTTGTCGTACTGGCACCTTGTCAACCTGGCATCTTGGCAGCATTGCGCCCTGACAACCTGGCAAATGATCATAAAAGGACTAATTGTAAATCTCGAAAGCGATTTTTATGCGGAATTATGGAGATTTCGGCCGGAATTACATTCAATTGTAACAATAGCAATCCGTACCAATACAATATCCATTTATGACGCCTAGTTATAATATTTATTATATATTATAATTGAGAAGATTTAAAGATAAATACAAATCTTCGATTGCTACGGTCGAACCTGAAAAGAAGTTCATAAAAAATAAAAAAAATTTTGATAATAATTAGGGTTGGTGACTTCCACCATGTCAAATTTCGCACAAAAGAATCTTTATTTATAAAAATTAAATAGAATCTAATATTTATTTTATTGTTAAAAGAATATTTTTTATTTACAAAAAAAAAAAGAATATATTTATTTATTAAATTTTTATTTAATAATAATTTTTTAAAAATTT